CTTCAGAAGATCGTTTTACAGCATTATTTGGTATAAATAAGACAAAAATTATCGAGAAAATGCACTGAGAATGCATCATAGATGAAATAAAAAGAAAAGAGAGTTTTTGTCCGATATAAATACCAACTATAAGATGTTGATATCAATAATGATTTGTATGATAGTTTTATTACTATTAATCTCTTATCTTTGAAAGGGTGTATTGAAGAGATATGCGACATACGTCGTCAAATAGTACATGTTGCGAAAGCCGAAACAGAAATAAGATAATCTTTTCACCTGTTGTATTCATTTAATAAATTCAATATAATCTCTTCTTAAATATTATATATATATATATATATCAACTTTGTTTGAGGATTAATCTCAAGCAAATGTGAGATAGGTTTTCATTTTTACAGTACTCAAAACAAAAAAGAAACTAACACACACGCACGCACATAAATCTAGAATGGTACAATTATATTAATTGTTCAAGTTCATCAGCTGAACGAGTTAAATAAGAAGCTGCTTCTCGATAAGCATTAACAAGAACTTTAATTGAACTTGTTTCTGTATTAGACAGTTTCATTTGTTTCGATAATTTATTATTATTTGTTGTTGTTGAGGTAGTTGTTGTTGTTGCTGCTGAATCATTTGTTCCTAGATAAAATAAAAAAAGAATTTGATCAATAAAAAAATAAAAGAAATAAATCATATAGATTAGAACCGTTCGTATGTGTATGAGATGATACAAGTGATGTTGGTAGTGGTGGTGGTGGCGCAGTTAATGATTGAAGAAAATTTGATGGTGAAAAATTTGGACGAAACAAAGATGATGCTGATCCCGTACCATTTGGACTTGTAGCTGCAGCAGCTGCAGTAAAATAAGTCGATAAATCAAGTGATGGTCGAAATTGTTGTGAAAATGCATGACGAAGAAAATCTGCATCGAATCCAGGCAATGTCGATGCTGATGATGTAGCAAGATCAGACTATATATATAAATAACAAAACAAATATATATATTTTTAACTCAATATTAATGTTTATGTCTTCATTGAAATTTTACGCCTAATTACTATATAATAATGTATTATATAAAAATGAAACTAGGCTTTTTATAGAGGAAATAGAAACAACGTTAGTATATATTCTAAAATTTCTAAAAAAAATATAATTACAGTTTTTACTGTAGCATTATTTGACGTTGAATTTGATCGACTTTTTTTAGTATTGGTTTCAGTTGAATTAAAACGATCGGTTGTTGTAGTTGGTAAATTAGTTGAATGATCCTGTAAAAAAATATTTTTTTTTTTCGTAAATCGATGGATAAATATAATTATTTATACTTGATGTAAGAATGAATTTGT